ACCAATATCGTAAGACATAGAATTTAGCTCAAACACTGTTACAAGAGACAAAGAACGACATCATATAATATATGGATAAAAGTGTCAATTTATCAAGAAGATATAACAATTATATATATGCACCTAACAACAAATAGATACCCAAGAGTAGCAACTTTTCATTTTTGAATTTTGAAATTCCTTTTAGGCAACACTTCTTTATATTTTGCCCATAATCCACTTATCTGAAAATAGAAATCTTATCTTTTTCTGAGTGATAAAAATCGATGTTTTTTCTGTTACATTTCTTAGTACTTTAAATATGATCAAACCATATCAAGAAAAAATGGTGTAGTTGAGCATTTTTACAGAAAATGTGCCCCTGATACAAATTCATATATTGAAGCCCTGTCTCCCATTGTGACTGTATTTGGATATGCGACCTTAAAGGAGGTAATTAAAGTGCAATGAGGTCAAAAGGGCCCTAATCTAATAGTACTGATGTTCATGTAAGAAGAGGAAGACACACCACCAGGAGCACGCACATCCAGAGAAAAGGCCATGTGTCAACACAGTAAGAAGGACCTGTAAGCCAAGGAGAGAGGTCATACCAGAAATCAACCCTGTCATCATTTTGGTCTTGGATTTCCAGCCTCCAGAATTATGAGAAAATAGAGTTCTCTTGCATAAGTCCCACGGTCTGTGGTATTTTGTTATAGGAGCCTTAGCAGATAAACACATGCATTCTGTCCTTAGTCCTCATATGGATGAGATGTATCTCTTTATGGATAATATGTATCTCATACATAACTTCTTTATTAATATAATTAAGAATTTTTAAGAGGCTGATTGCCTAATTTAATTAAATGAAATTTTGTGTGTGATTTTCAGTCTGAATGTACAGCTTTGACTTACTGGAATCATGTATGGTATTGACATAAAATTTATTCCTTTCTAAAGAAAAATTTGGATGTAGATCATAATTCTCTTATGGCCATCTGAAACATACTTATTAATATTTTGTAAGAAAATATCTATCTTTATTCATAAATATGAGTTACCTTAATTATTTTGGAGTGATCGAGCATGGACTCAAGATTTCTTAAACTTAATGAAAGCCTTTTTCCATGCTCTGTAACTATTTTATAAAATGAGAATTGCTGTTTGTCATAGAAATAAGGAATTGTCCCATAAACTTAAGTTGAATTTGACTTAGAATCAGTTATTTGGTGCCTTTTTATTTTTAATTTGGTAACTATTTACTCTGAATATTGAGTAATTAAGTTATCTGTACCTCCTTGGATTGATTTTATGAATTTTTGGCTCTGCCTGAGTATAATTTGTTACAAGATTTTCAACTTCATTGATTTACCTTACCATTGCACATCTAAGTCATAGACACACAAACACATGCACACACAGACACATTTTAGCTATCCCATTTTAGCTATTCTATTTCTTTCTTTCTTCATCTTTGTTTAGATTTATCAGAGACCATTTTATCTTTTTTTAAAGCTATCAGTTCCTGAACTGTTTAATCAGTTTTACAGATTTGATTTCTTTTGTTTTTGGTGTATTAATTTCTATGACTTTATTTTTCATCTCATTAATTTAACTACATTTCTTTTAATTATTTGAAATAAATCATTAGTTAACTTTTTAAAAAAATTATTTTGGTTAATGTTTGACATGCTTGGTCTCTTTATCTCTAGCTGAGCATAGTTTTAGTTCTATCACTTAGGTTTCAATTTTGATTTAATTATTATTTGGTATATAAATTATTTTGTAAAGTTTTTTATTACCTTACTATTGGGGCTTATATTTTACACTTTTATTATTAAATTATTAGATTTTTATTTATGTGTGTATGTTTGTGTATTTGGGAGGTACTGATATAACAGACAAATGATATTGCCTGAACAATGTACTTTATAGGAGCTTTTTTCAGGTTTTCTCACTAACCTAAAATATAAAATTATACAAACATACTCATAGATACAACACCGACCGTATTTTATCACTAGTATTGTTTGTTATTTTGGTAGCCAAATATTGGAAATAGATATCAGGAACCCATTTAGTTTCTGGAGACAATGTTTACAAGGCATCACAGTCACAGAGGTTGAAGCAATCCTTGGGTGGTTGAGGTCACTGGCATCTAGAGCTCTCAGTTGCAGGCATTATTTCCTAAAGTTAATGTGAGTTAGAGGAAAAGCACATTTTCTATATTAATGCTATGGCTCTTGGCACCAACTACAGCCAAAAAAAAAAAGATAGAATGACTGTATTTTCTACTTCCTGGACTTCCTCCAAGTACATTTACACTTTCACGCAATCTCTAGAATAAAATAAATATTAATGACATGTAACAAAATTTTAAAAAAAAAGTGCCTCTAGAAACAACCTAGCACACAAACAGGTATTTCCACCTTAATAGCCAACTCACCCCCAAATCAGCTCATAATCATATGATGTTATAAGAATTTAGGTTATATGAGATTTTAATCATCTCCCAATGCTTTTAGACTTTCTCATAGAGTTGAGTCTAATGTCAGTTGATCAATTTGACTTATGCAGAATGAGTCATTTATAAAGTCAGAGGAATCCAGACAATCCAGACATGCAAGCTCAGTTTTGTATACCATTGACCAAAGGAGACACCATATGGTAACTCAGGGCTGTACCAACACACATTTAAGATACTTACTACTATACCACAGTTACATATTTTCATGTTAAAGAATGAAAATGGTTAAAGAAGTCCCAGGCACATTCTATGATGGGTAGTAAAACTAAAATTAAAACCACCTTGAAGAGAGTCCAAGTCTTTAAACTCACCTTTTTTTTTTAAGTTCATCAGTACCAAGGGAAAAACCTGATTGTATCAATTTTCTGTTCTATAAGCATAGTACATTCCAAAATGTCTAACAGCAGATTTTGAGAAGGGCTGCAGAGATCAAGCTGTAAGCCAAAATCTTGCATCTGTATAATTTAATGAACATGGATTTGCTGTGGTGAGGAATGATTGCCTATTTACACTGTTAGACAAGTTTTCTTACTGTTTGAATATTAATTACAAAATTTCAGGCTTTACCTTTTCTTTTACCCAATCTACATCCAAGACAACTCTGGCTAAGTTTTTCTTTACTGTATTACAATAGTTTATAATATAATAGGTAGTCAGGTAGGGCTTAAACGAATACCTGAAATTGGCAGCAGGAACTAGAGAATGGTTAAGAATTCTTCCAAAGTCTACCATGTATCATCTTACACAACACCAATTGGTTAGGAACTTACAAAAGAACAATATTTTCAATCGTGTTAAAATAGAAAGTTGATGTGTTTTACAAAAAGGAGCTATTATTAAAAGTCAGTAATTGAGAGGCCATAACACTCATTAATTTCATGGTGAGGGAATAAAACACTGGCCAAGTATACTTAAATATAATGTCAAAACATTAACCATTTAATATTTCACATAATTTCATTATCCCACATATTATCTCATTTTCATCGTTTCATTGACAAAAAGTCAAACTCATGTACAATTATGTAAAACATCCAAATGCATTTCTTTTTCTTTATATATAAAATTTTAATGTGATTTTGCCTTGTTCTATTTGGCACCTGGTGAGTGTAAATAATTTTTCTTTTTATTCAGTTTTGGACTTTGGCATCTTCTTTAAAAATTTGATTTAAATAATTCTTTTCATATCCTTTTTCATTTTTGTCACCTTGACAAATTTGGACAAAAGAAAAACCACGAAGGATGCAAAATAAAGCAATGTCATCAGAAATTAAATTAAGAATTGTAATAGATTATATACAAATCTTGAGAATTCCCTAATAAAATCAACAGAAGACCCTGTTTATCTTGAAATGATAATTCATTTACAGTGAAGCTCTGTCAATTACAGTACTAATAGGAGAAAAATAAGATGGCTATGTTACTTTTTATTCTCAAGTATCTTAATGAGTTACAAGAAAAAAGCTAATAACAATTCAAATAGTCAATATCTATTCTACAAATGTGAGGTCAGAACTGAGTCTCAAACGTGATGAGAATTCATAAAAGCAAAACATAAGACAACAAAATCTTTCAAACTGGGAATGTACTACATTTAGCACTGCAAACACTGTGTGTATGGGCATGTGTTTGCAATAACATATATATTTTTTTCCTTACCACATCTTTGCAGATTTTTTTCTATCAGTAACAGGAAATTTTCCGAATAATAACAAAAGATATTTCTCAAAGTCACCATATACAATTTTTACAAGAAATTTTTTAAAATGTAATTGAGTTTATTTCATCAGCCTATTTCAGCCCCATGAACTGGCTTAAAATATAATCATTTCAAGACTATATAATATTCTAATATTTAAAATATATTAATATTTTTGGCTTTGTAAGAAAATCTAAAAATTTTAGGACAAAAACAAATTATTACATTAAAGTCATCTTCCAGTATATTGACCATAGTATAATATCCATACCATACTAATTCCCACACACAAATATACACATATGACAATAAAAGCCTCCAAGACTTTGAAGGTCATTTTCCTACAAAATATTAATTTAATATCTTTATGTATCAGTTTTTAGAAGGTTTGTTTTCTCTTTTTTTTTTTTTTTTTTTTTTGCAGTGCGCGGGCATCTCACTGTTGTGACCTCTCCCATTGCGGAGCACAGGCTCCGGACGTGCAGGCTCAGTGGCCATGGCTCACGGGCCCAGCTGCTCCGCGGCCTGCGGGATCCTCCAGGACCAGGGCACGAACCCGTGTCCCCTGCATCGTCAGGCGGACTCTCAACCACTGCGCCACCAGGGAAGCCCTAATTCTTGTTATTTTTATAATGATAAAGTAAAACACTCTTTTGATATCCACGTATAGATTAAAGTGTGAAGAGATTCAGGAAACATTCTACTAAAGATTGACATTTTGATAGATTATAGGTCCAAAAATATCAAAATATTTATCATTTCAAAAAGAATAGAATTGCCAAATTATCAACTTACCAACTTAGTCTCAAAGGATGTTACGGAACAGCAGTATTTTTTCATGAATTAGTCTGAAAAAAATGAGAGGAATATGTAAAAACCAGAAAGAAAGATGCTGGCTCACTGGGATTCTAAAATTAACATAGCAGGCATTTCCTGCTGAACACCAGCAAATTTTTCCTGAAAATTTAGACTTATATATAAAAATACTAATTGGAATATTATTTCCAAGTAGGTAATTTATACATTGACACCAAACCTCCCATCTATTTCCCCAAAATACAATTAAAATAGCAAAACATGCATATAGACACACATACACCTACAAAACAATCTGTTGTGTTTACTCTGACCACCAAAGTATCTATGCTGTTAACAATCGCTTTGTATGTTTATAATAACATTTCTCCTTTCCTTTGCTCTCTTCTCCACAAATTTAGCATATTTGAGTCTTTTGATACTCGCTGCACACATGAACAAAAGTATGGATTAAGTGTGCAAGGAAATGTGGAAATACATTCTGAACAAACACACATTTGCAAAAATCATGACACAGAGTATGACACTGTGATGCCTTTCGTAAAGCAAACAACATCCATGACAGACACACCTATATGGATACACAGTCAGGTTTTCAAATAGCTACATACAATTTCTAGTTGCTACCAACTGAATTTGGAATACAATTCTAGACTTTTCCTCCATATATATTTAATATTTTATATATACTTTGAGACAAAATATAAATGTTTTCATGTAAACATTAGTCAAAAACACTGAACTGAGAGATATGTATGGTCTATGATATATTGTGATAAAAATCCAAGCATTGGTCTACTGGATTAAATACTAACACAGAGGGAAATTTTTTATACTTTTATATCTGCTCAAGGACTTGGAACTGACAGTACATACATACATCACATTGAGAAAACAGAATAACAGGGACAGAAAGTTAAAGCCTTGCTAAAGGACAAAAAGTGGACCTATATTAAGAAATGCTTGGACATCAACAAAGAGATTGATATTTAATTTTACACACAATGATAGCAATAATGCCAGCTACCTCCCTTGATTAAAGTTTGACATGTTCCGAAGCAATATTTACAAATACTTATCTTGCAAAGTAATTATTAGGAGCACTTCTCATCAATATGTTTATGTATTGTAAAGTTTCCCTCCTCAAGTCAGACCACCTGGGATAAAATCCTATGTCACATGACATTCAATAAACTGAGAATTTACCATGCCTTTGTTAAATAACCTATAATGCACATAACAACATTTAGCTCTCAAGGTGATTCTGAATATTAAATTAGCTAAAGAGGGTCTGGTTTACAATCCAACAGGATAATAGGTCTCAAGAAACATTACCCCCAACCCTACTTATCCTCTTCCACTTTAGCTATGCTTAGGTTGGAAGTTTGCAAACAAATTTCATAATTTGTTCTACTGAAAGTAAATTCTTATTCATCATTATTCTTGCAAACTTGTTTAAAGCACCATATCTAATTGTATGTAAATGCATATATGTCTCTGCAGTTTCCAATTTAGGGAATGAAAGCTTTTTTACAACGCACTTTTCTATGATCAATTAAGCAAAATACACTTTTTTCCAAAGCCTATTTGAAGTACAGCCTTAGTGGAATTTTTTTTTTCAGTTGTTGCACAGATTATTTTTCTTTTCAAGAAAAACAAATGTACTTCCAGTTTCTAGTTCTGCATATAAGGAGCCTGGAAGTTGTCATGCTACCCTAACAACAGATTTAAAACAAACAAACAAAACCGAACAGACTGAAAAATCAACAACTCTTCTTGGATCCAGAAGAGAGGGGAGAACACAAAAAAACTACTACCCTCAAGACAGGAGAGACAAACAGGCAAATGCATACAGGCAGGCACATCTTACCAGAGCAGAAACTCAGGAACAGAACCACGGAGGAACCAGTGCCAGGGTAGGAAGTTCTGTACCATAATTGATGAATTGCTGGAGGCTCAGTGCCAAGTCTGAGAGTTAAAAACTCCACAATATTGTGAAATTTATCTCTAGGAGCTTAACAAGGTTCCCATTTTAAATATCAGAGCAAAATCCTTTCCAGCTTCTGTCAGGACGCTGAGGAAAGAAACCATTTTGAAATACGCCAGAAGATTCTGTTTTTCCTAATAAGGAGTGCCCTCAGCAGAAACTAGTTAACCAGAGCCTGACCTCGGGAAGGGAAATAACCAACTGCAGCTGGTTCTAGCCTTCCATGAGGGGAAGAGGAATAAACAACTCTAGCCCACTCTAGCTATCCTGACCCAGCTGAGAGGGAGAGGAAAAAGCTGAGAAACACAGTTTACCGTCTGTAGGCATACACTAAAAACTGAGACCTAATCAGCATAGAACTACAGAATGCTTCATCTCCTCTCACACCTCACCACCACATTACTAAAGGTCTACTGACAGCAGCTCCATTTACCCAGTGCATCACATCTGGTTATCATGAAAAACAAAAAATGGAAATGCATACCAAAAGGCAAAAACACAATTTAAAGAGACAGAGCAAGCATTGGAACCAGGCATGGCAGGGATATTGGTATCGTTAGACTTGGAATTGGAAAGAACTGTGATTAATATGCTAAGGCCTCTAATGGATAAAGTAGACAACATGCAAAAACAGATGGAAAATATAAGCAGAGAAGTGGAAATCCTAAGAAAGGACCCAAAATAAATGCTAGAGATAAAAAAGAGTGGAACAGAAATAAAGACTGCCGCTGATGGGCTTGCTAGTAGATTGGGCACAGGTGAAGAAAGAATCTGCACTAGAGAATCTATCACTAGGATCCTCAAAAACTGAAAAGCAAAGAGAACAATGACTGAAAAAACTGAAGTGAGATTCCAAGGACTGTGGGACAACTACAGAAGATACACATGTAGAAGGAGAAGAAAAAGAGAAAAAAAACAGAACTATTTGAACCATAATTGATAATTTCTCCAAATTAACATCTGACACCAAAGATCCAGAAAACTTGGAGTATTGCCAGAGCTGCTCCAGGTGTTTGTTCAAAACCCTGCAACTCCCACCTTTAGCAGGAGTTAACATAAATCTTTAAGTTAAAGGGTCCAGAGACAAGAAAGGAAGCTACAAACAAACAAACAAAAAAACCCCAGATGGAACCAGCTGGGACCAAGATGGTGATACATCTGACCTGCAACAGACCCTGAGTCTCATTATATACGATTTTACTACATGAGCACATTAAATGACATACCTACCGGTGGCCAGGACTGGACAGTAAGGACCATAAAAGTATAAAAAGAGGGTGGTGCCCACTCCCTCAGGGAAAAAGCCCCACCCCTGTCCCATAGACTAATGCAGATGTCTCCCCATCATCAGCCTCACTCCTCCTCTCTTTGGCTTTACTCTTTATAATTAAATCACTCTCTCCAGGTGGAGAAGTTGATCTGTGAACTTAGTTTCTGAGTCTCCATTCTTTGGCCACTGAATAAAGTTTGTGCTGTGCCGATCTCAGCTTCAGTTTTGTTACTCGCCTACTCAAACTCCAAAGGAAAAAGAACCCTCCTACGCAGAGGCAGAGAGCCTAGGCTGCCCAGGCTGGGGCCCGAGCAGGGTCCATTTGACTCAATTTGGTAACAAGAGGACACCAAGAAGGATAAATATAAAAAAAAATTATACCTCAGCACATCTTTTTCAAAAATAAAGAAAAATTTTCTAAAAGAAGCCAAAGGAAAAATACACTTTATCTAGAGAAGAATAAAGATAATAGCATCCAACTTCTCTTCAGAAAACATGAAAGCAAGAAGAGAAAAAACAGAAATATTTAAGGTGTTGAGAGAAAACAGCCACCAAATTAGAATTCTGTACGCTGTGAAATTATCTTTCAAATGTAAAGGAGATATAAAGACTTTTTTGGACAAACAACTAGAGGGAATTTGGTGCTAGTGGACTTGCCTTAAGAGAAAAGTTAAAAGAAGTTCTATAGAGAGAAGGAAAATAATGTAGGTTAATAGGTTATTACCCTGGATCTATATAAAGAGCATGAAAGAAGGAATACATAAAGATAAAATAGAAACTTTTATTTTTCTTATTCTTAATTGATCTAATAGATAACTGTTCAAAATAAAAACAGTTATAATGTATTCAGTTATGTATGCTTATGTATATATATATATATGCTTATTTATGCTTGTATATAAGTGAAAGGATGACAGCAATGGTATAAGGGATGAGAGGAAGTCAGGGTTATTTTGTTTTTAAAATGTGTGCATATTACACATGAAGCGGTATAGTACTATTTGAAAGTGGACTGGGATTAATTGCAAAGGTATATTGAAAACTCTAAGACAACCACTAAAAAAAAAAAGTGAAAAATGAAATACAAATGAAATATTAAAAAGAGAGAAAATAGAATCATATGCTCAAAAAAGCAGATGAACAAGGAGAGAAAATGGAGTCATATAAAACTATAAAAGGCCCAAAAGGAGTGAAGGACAAAAATAGGAATAAACAACAAGGGCAACAAAGAGAAAACAGTAACTAATACGGTAGTTATTAATCCAACTGTATTAGTAATTACTTGGAATGTCAATGGTCTAAATGTACCAATTAAAAGACAGAGATTGCTAGAGTGGATCGAAAACTTGACTCGACCATATATCATCTATAAGAAACTCACTTTAAAAATAAAGACATACATAGATTAAGAGTAAATGGATGGAGAAAAATATACCATGTTAACACTAAGGAAAAGAAAGCAGGAGTAGCTCTATTAATTTCAGACACAGCACACATCAAGGAAAGCCATCAGGGATACAGAAGGACACTACATAATGATAAAGGGGTTGACTTTTAAAAAAATTTTATTGGAGTATAATTGCTTTAAATGTTGTGTTAGTTACTGCTCAACAATGAAGTGAATCAGCTATATGTATACATATATCCCCTCCCTCTTGACCTCTTTCCCACCCCATCTATGTCATCACAGAGCACTGAGCTGAGCTCCCTGTGCTATACAGCAGGTTCCTACTAGCTATCTATTTTACACATGGTAGTGTATTTAAGGCCAACCTAATCTCCCAATTCATCCCACTCTCCCTTCCACCTCCCATGCCCACACATCCACTCTCTATGTCTGCATCTCTAATCCTGTCCTGCAAATAGGTTCATCTGTAGCATTTATCTAGATGTCACATATATGTGTTAATATACGATATTTGTTTTTCTCTTTCTCACTTACTTCACTCTGTATGATAGACTCTAGGTCCAATCACATCTCTACAAATGACCAAATTTCATTCCTTTTTATAGATAATATTCCACTGTATATACGTACCACATCTTTTTTATCCATTCATCTGTCTATGGACATTTAAGTTGTTTCCATGTCATGGCTATTGTAAATAATGCTGCAATCAACATTAGGGTACAGGTGTCTTTTTTTTTTTTTTTTTTTTTTTGCAGTACGCGGGCCTCTCACTGTTGTGGCCTCTCCCATTGCGGAGTACAGGCTCTGGACACGCAGGCTCAGCAGCCATGGCTCACAGGCCCAGCCGCTCCGTGGCATGTGGGATCTTCCCAGACCAGGGCATGAACCCGTGTCCCCTGCATCAGCAGGCGGACTCTCAACCACTGCACCACCAGGGAAGCCCCACATGTGTCTTTTTGAATTATGGTTTTCTCAGGGTATAAGCCCTGTAGTAGGATTGCTGGGTCATATGGTAGTTTTATTTTTAGTTTTCTAAGGAACCTCCATATTGTTCTCCATAGTGACTGTATCAATTTACATTCCCACCAACAGTGCAAGAGGGTCCTCTTTTCTCCACACCGTCTCCAGCATTTATTGTTTGTAGGCTTTTTGATGAAGGCCATTCTGACCAGTGTGAGGTGCTCCCTCATTGTAGTTTTGATTTGCATTTCTCTAATAATTAGTGATGTCGAGCATCTTTTCATGTGCTTTTTGTCCATCTGTATGTTTTTTTTGGAGAAATGTCTATTTAGGTCTTCTGGCCATTTTTTTGTTCGTTTTTTGTTTTTGCTATTGAGCTGCATGAGCTGTTTGTATATACTAGAGATTACTCCTTTGTCAGTTACTTCATTTGCAAATATTTTCTCCCATTCTGAGGGTTGTCTTTTCGCCTGGTTTATGGTTTCCTTTGCTGTGCAAAAGCTTTTAAGTTTCATTAGCCCCATTTGTTTATTTTTGTTTTAATTTTCATTACTCTAGGAGGTGGGTCAAAAAAGATCTTACTGTGATTTATGTCAAAGAGTGTTTTTCCTGTGTTTTCCTCTAAGAGTTTTAAAGCGTCCGGTCTAACAGTTAGGACTTTAATCCATTTTGAGTTTATTTTTGTGTATGGTGTCAGGGAGTGTTCTAGTTTCATTCTTTTACATGTAATTGTCCAGTTTTCCCAGCACCACTTATTGAAGAGGCTGTCTTTTCTCCATTATGTATTCTTGCCTCCTTTGTCATAGATTAGGTGACCATATGTGCATGGGTTTACCTCTGGGTTTTCTATATTGTTCCATTGATCTATATTTCTGTTTTTGTGCCAGTACCATACTGTCTTGATTACTGTAGCTTTGTAGTATAGTCTGAAGTCAGGGAGCCTGATTCCTCCAGCTCCGTTTTTCTTTCTCAAGATTGCTTTGGCTATTCAGGGTCTTATGTGCTTCCATACAAATTATAAAACTTTTTGTTCTAATTCTATGAAAAATGCCACGGCTAATTTGATAGGGATTGCATTGAATCTGTAGATTGCTTTCGATAGTATAGTCATTTTCATAATATTGATTCTTCCAATCCAAGAACATTGTGTATCTTCCATCTGTTTGTGTCATCTTTGATTTCTTTCATCAGTGTTTTATAGTTTTCTGAGTACAGGTCTTTTGCCTCCTTAGGTAGGTTTATTCCTAGGTATTTTATTCTTTTTGTTGCAGTGGTAAATGGGATTATTTCCTTAATTTCTCTTTCTAATCTTTCATTGTTAGTGTATAGGAATGCAAGAGATTTCTGTGTATTAATTGTGTATCCTGCAACTTTACCAAATTCATTGATTAGCTCTAGTAGTTTTCTGGTGACATTTTTAGGATTTTCTATGCATAGTATCTTGTCATCTGCAAACAGTGACAGTTTTACTTCTTCTTTTCCAATTTGTATTCCTTGTATTTCTTTTTCTTCTCTGATTGCCATGGCTAGGACTTCCAAAACTATGTTGAATAAGGGTGGACATCCTTGTCTTGTTCCTGATCTTAGAGGAAAT